ATGGAGCACTGTGGACTAAACCTACTGCCCATAAATCAGTATTACCTTCAATCATCAATCTGCATAAAGTCTAATTTGTTTCATAGGGTTGGTCACTCAAGTTATAATTGATTTCCTAAATCTTGTTGACCGGTCCATAGAAATAGCAGGTAGTGATAAAATGCTGGTGGGTAGATCCCTTTGTATTATAACTATGGCAGTCAACTAATTTTTAACCAATCATATGCATTTAAATATATTTGCATAAATATTGAAATACTGAAGGAAGTGTAAGATAACTTACAAAAGCTATCATTCAGAAAAAGACCATCTTTGATACTTTAATTTCTTCAATTCCCATTCAATTACTTCTTTATTATTCTGTGCTCCAAATTGTTGTTACATGAATGCACCTGAGCAAAAATAGCCTTGAAAATAAGGAATTTTGAATTTAATTTGCAGCCCCACCAATTTAAACCTGCTTTTGGCAGTCAAAATCCCGCCCCCCTTGCTGGATCAAAGACTTAGTAGCACAACCCTATATTTGCCTGCTCAGAGGTAAGGCCGATAGAGTTAAATAGTACTTATTCCTGGGGTAGTGGATACAGTCTATACTCACATCACTGTGAGTCCCACTATACAATGGGCTTTACCTCTGAGTAGCCATGCACATTAAAGCATCACTGCCATAAGAACATATTTTGCACTGAAGTGTGTAACCACAGCATGTTCTTAAAGAAAAGCTTAGTAAATAATGGCAGTCCTGCAGGAAGCAAAGATTTGTGCCCATGCTGTCATTTAGGGTTTTGTAAGCTCTATTTACCTTGGTCACCCCCCCCCCATTGATAGCTCGGCTTGGGAGTCGCTGGTGGGCGCCGAATGTCCGCCCCTTCCTACACCTCTATGCCACCATCCCCACGACTTCCAAGTACACCGAGCTGTCAGGGGAAGGGGGGAGCTATGCCGCTTTGCAGGGGCGCTGGCAAAGCTGCGTTCTCTATAGAGGCACAGCTCCCATCCGTCCCCCTCCCTCCCTCCCTGGCTTGCTGTAAAGCGGCAAAGCAGGAGCCACTTACGGCGAGCCAGAGAGAGAGGGAGGCTGGGAGGGGGGACCCCGGCTTGCTGTAAGCGGCTCCTGTTGGCGGCGGAGGGATCCCATCACCACTGTCCGGTGCTCCAGCAGCGTCAGTGGCAAACAGCTATGTACAGTGCATGTGCGGCGGTGCTATGCACAGTGCATATGTGTGACACTGTACATGTGTTGTACGTAGCGGTTTGCCACCCAAGAGCCATACGGATGGTGATGGGATCCTCTGCTTGTGGCTGCAGCGGCAACAGAGGCATTCCACCACCATCTGTACGGTACTCAGGCAGCACTGGCTGCAAACCACTACGTACAGTGCATGCATGCGACACCACACCTGCGTTGTATGTAGCGGTTTGCTGCCGGTGCCGCTCAAACGCCATACAGACAGTGGCGGGATCCTTTGCTCGCTGCTGCAGCTGCAAATAGAGGATCCTCCACATGCAGCTGCGGCGGTGCGATGGCTGCTTGTGCCGCCGCGCCTGGGCCGGCAGGGGAAGCAGCCCGTGGGGTGCCTTCCTGTCACCCTCCCAGACATGGAACCCAGGGCGAACTGCTCCCCCGCCCCCACTTTGCGACGCCACTGTTCCAGACACCCTAAGGCAGTGTTTCCCAACCTTGGGTCTCCAGCTATTTCTGGACTACAATTCCCATCATCCCTAGCTAACAAGATCAGTGGTCAGGGATGATGGGAATTGTAGTCTGAAAACAGTTGAAGACCCAAGGCTGGGAAACACTGCCCTAAGGTATGGAAGTAACAGTGAACAGAAAAAATGCAAAGCTTCATAGCTGGCAGGTTGCTTTGAAGCTGCTCTTTATTTCCCCTTCTCACTGATGTTATGATGGCCCAAGTTGAATATGGATATCGGAAAAGCTACTGATGCTGTATGGATGAACTTTCCCCACTAGTAGGCAACATTCCCAAATGGTCTCTGACTAAGTCATACTCAGATAAATGGACTTAAGTTAGTCACAACTAATTTATCTAATTTACTCTGAGCATGACTTGGGCTGTATACACACCACACATTTCAAGGACTTCAAACAGTCAGGGTGTTTCCCAAAGTATTCTGGGAGCTGCAGTTTGTTAAGGGTGCTGAAAATTGTTAGGAGACCCCTATTCACTCCCATAGTTGCCATTCCCAGAGTGCCTTGTGAAGAGTCATTGCTAAATCACTCTGGGAACTGTGGCTCTGGGAAGGGACTGGGGTCACCTCTCAGCACCCATCAGAACATAAGAAGAGCCTGCTGGATCAGGCCAATGGCCCATCTTGTCCAGCATCCTGTTCTCACAATGCCTGTAGGAAACCAGCAAACAGGATTGGAGCACAAGAGCATTTCTTCCTCCTTAACAAGCAACAGTTTCCAGAATTCTTAGGAGGAAGCCATGATTGGTCAAAGTGGCATCACAGTGCTTTACAAGTATGGTGTGAATGCGGCCTTAGTTGGATACAACTTGTGTTTGGCAGAACTGGGATACTGAGACCATCAGCTTCAAAGATGAAACTCATCGCCAACACTGATGCTGCAATTTAAGAAGGATCCTTTTCCTGTTTCCATCTCACCACTCTAGATTAAAACAAGGCTTTTGTCTCATTTGAATAAAAGCATATGCTGATATCTCAATGCAAAACATAAAAGGGACAGAACCAGAACACAGATCCTGCCCCCCGCTTCTGTGTTTGAAACCAGCCTCCTTTAAGTGGGGAGCAAAGAGGAAAGGCCAATGAAATTGACAAGTGTGTACACTACCCTGAAATTATGATATTTTTTTCTTGGACCAATTATTTACTGGTGAGTGAGGAAAGTTTCAAGCTTTTCATAGCTGCTGGTTTCTCATTTCTCACAAGAACTTGTATAAAGTGCACACTGCATACGGAATTCTCCTATTTTAGGAAAGGTTTCGCCATCTCTTTTTTAATAGCTATATAGAAAGAACCCTGATGATAATTATTTGCAAGATTGTGCAAGAAGGTTAATAAGCTGGTGCTGGATGCACTTTAAACATGCATTTAGGTACTTGCATGTACCTGGCTTTAGTTTATAATAGCTTGTAAAGAGGTAATGTGACATGGAAATCCCAATCAATCCATTATGGGCATACCCACCACTTTTTAAACTGCTAGACATCCTCATTATGTGCAACGTAATAGTGCAACATCAGTTGTTTTATGGATCTTTGAGTTATCCCATCCCTGTTTAATCTCAGATTCACCTTTTATAGCCAGTTGCTATGAGCCACTGTGGCAATCTAAAACAGGGGTCGGCAACCTAAGGCCCATGGGCCACAAGCAGCCCATGGGGGTTGTTTAACCAGCCCATGGACCCCTGCCACCCGCTCAGTCGGCTCCTGTGCACCGTGCTAAACTGGCACGGAGTAGAGCAGGGACCGCCTTCCACGACGCTGGCCGGCTTCCCATTGGCTGCAGGAAGCTCCTGCAGCCAATGGGAAGCTGTGCACGCCTCCTCCACGCTGGAAGGAGCACCGGAAATAGCGTTTGCACATGTGTATGTGCATGCACACACCCTCTGGCCCACCGCAGCGTCTGCGGGACCGTGAACTGGCCCAAGCCACAAAAACTTTGCTGACCCCTGATCTAGAAGATCACAGGATCTGCTACAGTGGACCATCACAAGAGTCCATCAGATAGGCTTATGGGCAGCACTACCCTGTTCCTTTGCCTTGCCTTAGGGCTCAGAGGAGTCATGGAGGCTGGCACAAAGCTGCGCCATTCTTTACAGTAGGACTGCGGATTACCAGTATAGTGCAGGGTTGCCATATTTCAAAAAGTGAAAAGCAGGACAGGAATTTTTAAGGAAAATCACCATATGTCTGGATTTTTCCGGACATTTTTTCGATTTCCGCCCAGACACTTCTTCTGATTGCAGTATTCTGAATATGTCTGGGAAATTCCGGAAGTATGGCAACCCTATTATAGTGGCGGCTGAGGAGCTTTGAATTGGCTCAACAGCGTGGATTGTTGCAGCCAAATATGGTGAGTGGGATTATGCTGTCCACCCATCAAAATTATGGGGGAAATTCTACTTGTTGAAAACACACGAAGCCCAGTTAAAATAATAATTTAAAAAATACAGAGCTTCAAAAAGATGAGAGCATTCTAGATGGCTGGTTTGTAGCTGTCCAAATGAGTAATCACCTCCCATCAAGAGTTCTGTAGTTTGTTCAGTGCTTGATAATGTGAAGAAGTGTAATAAAGACGTAATATAAGCAAGACACCAGAGTGGCTTTTTCCATATATTATCGAAACAATAATGCTTTTGCTATAACGACTGCCCTGTGGGGAAAATGTATAAGCTACAGAACTTGGGGCTGGTCCTGGCACAAAGGTGAGCCATGCATTGAGGAAGGAGATGAACCTCAGTCCATTCACAAAAATAATAGTGAATGAATACTGAGCTTATATGCCTTTGTGATTGGCCCTGCTTATTGGCCCTTCATTGGTTTTGTTGGATGTCTAGCATTGACACTTATTCTGAAAAGCACTGAATCTTATTAGAGGTCATGCAATGGAGGACCAGGCAAGTACTGTCCTGAGGCTAAATTATATACCGGTACCCTACCAGGTACATAACCTATGTGCTCAGGCCATGAATAAATTGCTATCAGTGATGATACTAAGAAGCAACTTGGCAGAGATGGCTCCAGTTGGTTTTATATCAATTATGCTTTTATAATGAACAAAATGTGTTCAATCAAGTACCTTTTATTCCACTGGTTGAAATCTTTTCTCCACTTAAGCTGCTTAAATGACATCACCTTTGTCAGTATTTAAATAGCCCAAGTGAACAGGATTGCTGATCTCCACATCTCAGGTGTTTTGTATCTCAAAGTAAAATTTCTATAACCTCTAGATATGAATTTTACCATCCTGCATTTCTTCTAAAGCCTCCTCAATAACACTTTGAGAATCATGCCTTAAAAACCAAGGTTTTTTTTAATTCAACTAGAGTGACTGGTGAATGAACAGAGACCATTTTTACAAACATTATTACATTTTGGAACCAACGTTATTTTAAAAACCAAATGATTCTTGTAGGTTAATTATGTTTTCAAAGCACTGATGAAACATTTACTTTTGGAATTTTTGTCCCATTTGCTGTCTGTCTGTCTCTCTCTCACACACTCGCAGACTAAATTCTGGTAAATATATTTGTACAAAGACATTAGGTGAGTAAGTGCTAGCCACTTTATTTTTAAAACAAAGGTTATTTATGTTTGGAATTTCAAATCTCTTCTTTAATTTACATCGTCTGTAGAATAATTTCCTCTGTTAAACATCCCCCCCATCCAGTCATTGTAAATAGCACCCCTCACCATATAAATAACACCACAATAACGCCCAGAGGAACAATCCATGGCATGAAAATAACCAAAACTGATTGTGTTTATTGCCTACTCCCAAACATGCCTTCTGCATGTACCTGTGTCTTTAAAAAGAATGTACAGAAAGGAGGACTTTGTGCACAGCAGAGTATGGATGATGGGGAATTCATTCCACTATAGACTCCCATGAAACTGTGTTGCAGCCAGCAACCAGGGAACTACAAACAGCACCCTAAACAGATTGTTCTTAGACAGCTCTACTGCCTGTGACATTATTTCAATGAGTAATCATGGCAGAACACACCTAGAAATGGTTAGAATTTCTAGGTTCAATGTGCTAAAAGGAGGGTGCTTTGTTCAGCAAAACATGAGAACAAACAAAACTATCATTGATCTCTCCAACAACTCAGATGCCCAGTGGTTTGCTTTGTAAAGATCCCAGTAGCTGCTGGGTGACTATTTGTACCCCTGGCATAAGAGAATAAAAACCAGACTCTACAAAAATCACAATCCAGGTCCTGTAATTACGTAGCACTTCGGCTAAACCACCAATTTGAGTGCTGCAGGAAAATGTGTTGATGATAAAGCCCTCTTTGGGGCAAGTCAAGATTATTTAAGATTATGCACTCAGAGGGTTAACATATGCTTAAGTCATATACTGTAGCTTGACTGATGAAAACATTCATTGCTTCTATCCCCTTTGAAAATTATATATATATATATTTATATATATATGTAGTAGAAAAAAGCAAAATAGTCTTAACCCTTTGAGGATCATATTTAGCAGCAAGTCACAATCTAGACAGAGAACAAAGATGGTTTCAGTCATTTAGGAAATTATTATTACAAAGATACTGTAAGCACCCTTTCTGTGGTTCCTTCTTTAAGCAACTGATACAGACAAAAAAAGAAGGAGAAGAAATCAAATGAAACAGTTGCACACAGGTTTGGAGGATTTTTGTTTGTTTGTTTTCAGAATCTCAAAGGGTTAAGCCAAGACTTTCAGCAAAAGTGTTTTATTAAAAGGGTGAATTAGGTGAGCGAACAGTCTCAGATGAACTGGGTGAATAGTCTTCCGATTCGGAGTTGAGATCAGGTGGTGCTTGTTGTGCCTTGCAGCGCCCCCTCACATCCGGGTTGCGTCTTCGTCGGAAAACCTGCCCCTCCTTATCAAGAGCGGTGGTCTGGCAGGGGCATAAAATGAGAATAAATGAAATTAGGCTGTGTATGAAATGCCATATCTGGCTACCATATGTTCTCCATCCCACCCTTTCTTTTCCCCAGGACTGGGGCTAAAATCAGTCCGGGTCAAATCAAAAACCCTTCCTCCATCCACCCTTCTGTTTCAGCCAGTTTTTGCTGGATTTAACTCATAACACAGATAAATTCACACAAAAGGGCATGACCCAAACTATTAAGAGGCAGCGTGACATCGTCAAGCATATACAGTGTGTGTGTGTGTGTGTGTGTGTGTGTGCGCGCACACACATGCCATATGTTAAACTTCTGGATGCTATTAATTTCATGGAGTAAAGGGTTCAGGTTTCAAGGAGAATGCGGACTGACCCTACAATTATTCCCTTTCCAAAGTAAGCCTCTATCCTGACAGGAAAGGTTAAAAGGTGATTTGATTTGTACGAAGGGGGCAAATATTTGCCAACATTAAAAAACAGTGAAGGTGTCAAAAAGAACCCCAGTCAAACCCAACCCTACATTCTTACAAAACTGTCAGACTAAAGTCAAAGAAAGGGAGAGGAAAGGCAACTTCTAAACAGAATAACCACACACTCATTAGCAAGAAGAGATGTTATTCTACACGTCCAGGGAGCTGGTGTTACCTATATTTATAGTATGTACATCTGTGTCTATATTGCATATTCCCAAATATATCTATATGCAAAGCTGGATTTCCCCTAAACTATGAAGGGCAGAATAGTCAGTGCTTTGCCCAGTTGTTATTAATCCTTAGATCAGCCTTTTTCAACCAGTGGGTCCCCAGATGTTGTTGAACTACAACTCCCATCACCCCTAGCTAGCAAGGCCAGAGCTCAGGGATGATGGGAGTTGTAGTCCAACAACATCTGGGGACCCACAGGTTGAGAACCGCTGCCTTAGATGAAAATGAGAACAACACAATCAGAAGCAGTATGAGGTGTACATGGAGAAAGAACCTGGCCTGGGGAGAACCATCCTGCAGATTGGTTTGATCTATTGCTAAAGAGAGAAACAATGTTCACAAAGTGGTTTGTCTCTTTGGTAATAGGAAGAGCTGCAAAAGAAGTGTCAAGCGAACCCTGAAAGCTATGCGTATTTACTGCCACCAGCTCCGCAAATACATTTTGGGTGTATTTATCCAACAAAACAGTTCCTCTAGCACAAATAATTTTGGCTCCCTCTCCCCAACTCCCCCCCCCCCGTATGTTCTGGGGCTTCCTCCAACTACCCAGAAGAGATTTAGGTGGCACACAGGGAGAGGACGTTGTGCAGCCCAAAGTGCTTGGGCTGGTGCAACTGTTTTCTTGGATGCCGCCCACTGCTTCTGGGATTTCCAAGTTGGCATTAATTGTCCAATTTAACACAAAGCATAAATATGGTGCTTAATTTTCAGAGAGCCTCTAAGTTTTGTTGATTTGGGAGGAACTGTCTACGGTGAATTGACTGCACATGCCAAAAGGATAAAAACTTGGCCTCTAAGCTGCAGATATATCCACTTGGGAGCAAGGGAGGCTAAAAACTACCGGATTGTCTAGAAACCAAATGAATGCAAGTGTTAAGTAGGAAATGTTGGAACGACTTCTCTTTATCATGATGGGCTCTTTTAAAAAATAATGCAATCAAGAGGTTATTCTACTTCAAAGGATGTATCATTTTCTCTTGGGACGTGCATAACTGTTTTTCTTCTGGAAAATTTACCAGTTAACTGTAATCCTGGTTAGAGAATGGAGATATATTTATAGACTGGGCATTTCTGAGAACAAGATGAAAACTAAATCCATCAGGTTAGGGCAGAATAGCATTATAGCAATCCATGCTCTAAAATAATGCAATCAGGGCTTGAAAATGATGTAATAAAGGCAGAAGACCGAGAGGGTTTCTATAGCAAATGGATTCAGTTAGGCTGAATTGTTCCACTAATAGTTTCATAGTTAGAATCTTTAGAGCAGTAATACAAAGTGGAGGAAAAATCATATTTGGGTTTTAAACAACAGCAATAATTTTAAATAAGAATGCTAAAATTGAATTGCGATGGTTTGCCAAAGGTGCTTTGTTTACTGCTGATCCTTTGGTAAAGGTCTGACCAGTTTTCAAGGCCCCGTGAGATGCTTGGCCTTAAAACCAACTTTATTATTATATTTTAATATGAAGCAGAAGACAATCCAGATCATATTCACGTTACAAATATAGCATTTACAGTATATAGTTCTCCGAAAGCAATGGAGGGAATGGCATATATTACCATTCAATGACATACAGATTTGCATTTTAAAGTATTTTTTATGCTCCAAAGGCGTTTATTTAAAGGTTTGACCCACATCACATAATTTTTATATTAATCCCAGACTCAAGATGAAATTCTTCCCTTGGTATTCAAGTCTGATTTAAAATATGAAGGCTGCAATTTAGCCTCCAGCGGCGTTCTGCAAGTCTTACTAAAGTCAGTTGCCCTGATCTAGGTAGGGCCATGCAGAAAAACAGATGCAGACTCCTGCAGATGTATCTAGCTGTCCGTCGAAGTTAGGAAGTTGTCTTATATTGAACCATAGCATTCATTCATCTAGCTCATCTAGTCTACACTGACTGACAGTCACTCTCCACTTCGATCCTAACCCTGCCTATCGCTGCCAGGAAGTGAACCTGGGACTAACCGGATACAACACATGCACTCTGCAACTAAGCTATGGCCCTTTCCTATAGTATAGCACGATAGGTGCTATGTGTGTAGCCTCCAAACTGCTACATCTACCCAAACCACACCACCTCTCAGAGGTCACGTGCAATATGCGCACAAGTTTAAATGTGCCTAAGTTGTGGGCTTGCTGTATATAAGAGTTTGGAACAATCCAACAAACCTCAGGCGTTCATGAGCACACTATGATGGGAATGACATTTCTCAGCTGGAGGGAAGTAGCATTCAGAGTTCCAATGAAAAGTCTATATTGGTAGCAACCTAATAAAATTGCATGATTCTTACAGGGGATAGATAGGCAGCTACCTACTGCGTATTTGATTAGCAGATTGTCTTTAACAGGTCGGTGCTAATGAACTCTGAAGCATCCTTCAGGAAGCACCAAGGTCTGCAACACCATGCAGACATTATGCTGGCCACGGTAGACTTTGCCATAACCAACATCATTCTGAAAGTTTTCATTGGAGCCCCACAACTTGGCCTATTGCCCTGGCTCTGGAAGACACACCCTCCACCCCCAATTGTAGCAAATGTGAAATACATGGCGCATTTTAGCTGTTGCATAATGCTTTGTCTACTAGCTCAGGAATCACTGGAGGGAAAATCTTCACTTTTTATGGGCACGGTGACTCCCCCCTCCACTTTCCGTTGCTTTTGTTTTACTGCTAGCCATGCACATACAAACATATTCGTTTCATTAATAAAAGAATACGGGCGTATGTTTTCCCTCTTAGTGCATGCATTATTCATATTAGCTACAGGGCTGCAGTGAGGGCAGTGCCAGCGAGATATGCAGCTGTTCGTGCATTAATCTAAGAAAGGTTCCCCCGCCACTCTCTCCCTCTTTAATTCTGTAGGATGCCTTTACAGTTTGCTTGCCATTTTGGATATCTTCTGTTCACTTTGCTGAGCTAGGGCTATATTATGTACTGTTGCAACATTTGCTCAGAATACTTTAAAAGCTCCCACAATCACACCATTCTATTCCACTTCCATTAGCATCCAATGGTCAATGCTTAACAGTAAAGGTAAAGGTAAAGGGACCCCTGACCATTAGGTCCAGCCGTGGCTGACTCTGGTGTTGCGGCACTCATCTCGTTTTATTGGCCGAGGGAGCCGGCATACAGCTTCCGGGTCATGTGGCCAGCATTATTAAGCCACTTCTGGCGAACCAGAGCAGCACATGGAAAAATTGTTTACCTTCCCACCGGAGCAGTACCTATTTATCTACTTGCACTTTGATGTGCTTTCGAACTGCTAGGTTGGCAGGAGCAGGGACCGAGCAATGGGAGCTCACCCCGTCGCGGGGATTCGAACCACCAACCTTCTGACCAGCAAGTCCTAGGCTCTGTGGTTTAACCCACAGAGCCACCCGAGTAGCATCTCCAAATTGCCTGGCATTCGATAACCCATCAGCACTGCTGGAATCTTTAAAAGGAGGAACATCAGAGCCCGTCTGACCTGTGTGAAGTGCAAGTAGCTCTCCCAAGAGATGCCTTGTGGGTGGCAATGAGAGAATGGGGAAAGGCAGGTTTAATTCCTAGCATCTTTAGGTAGGGCTGGGAAGTGTAGACAATACTGAGCTAGTTGGATCAATGATTTGACTCAGCATAAGGCACATTCCCCACATTCCTAGTGGTCCTTTTCTGTGGTTGTCCTCCAACTATAGACTATTCTCTCACCAACACTGCCATCTTTTTTGGCTCCAGAAGATGTACAGTGGTACCTCGGGTTAAGTACTTAATTCGTTCCGGAGGTCTGTTCTTAACCTGAAACTGTTCTTAACCTGAAGCACCACTTTAGCTAATGGGGCCTCCCGCTGCCGCCGCGCCGCTGCTGCATGATTTCTGTTCTCATCCTGAAACAAAGTTCTTAACCCGAGGTACTATTTCTGGGTTAGCGGAGTCTGTAACCTGAAGCGTATGTAACCCGAGGTACCACTGTATTTCTTTCTTCAGGCATTTGGACATGGCCTGGCTATGGGTGAATTTTAAGTGCTCATTCTTTTTTGAAATGGTGGCGGGTCTTTTATGCTTTGGGATTATTATTATAACAACATACTGTGGTATATTTGCATTATATTCTTTTAATTGATATTGCTTCCCCACCCCCTGCCACTTTTTGCACTCCATCTGATACCGGATGGCGGGGTTGAGTGGCTATGCTGCTTACCTGACCTCCTGGCAAGCATTCCTGATTAGTGAGAGGGAGAGTGGGAGGGACAAGGTAATAGGGAGGTTGATGCTGTACAGAGGTGACAGCAGGAGCACCGTAATG